GCGGCCAGAGCTCATGGTCACATCGCCCTCACATCCGCATACCAGCAATCACTACCGTACAGGGTCCCTGGGAACAGCTGTTTCTGTGAAGAATGAACGACCGCGGCGAGATACGACTACGAGCAGCGACCTGTCGTCGGACAATGAAATGGAGTCTACCGCACTTAAGGGGCAGCAGATTCGGTTCTCCTCGCGGAACAGGGTAATTGAGCCCGAAGACCACAGAACGAGCAATCGCGATACCATGACGGTTGATGACTTGAATGAGGAAGCTGAGAATTCGGGTGGAGAATCTGTTGGATCCGGGCTATCGTCCGATTTCGATGCCACCGCAGGATCTGCTTCGTTGCTCGAGGATGTCGATATTACCGGTACTCTAGGGTCCTCATCCCCGATCGCATTGATGCACAAGCTGCAAAATACATCGGGGTCCCAAAATGCGTCGCCTAGGAAGACTAAAACCCCAGCACCAGAGTTGCAGGATCTTCCGCCTCCACGACCCATTAGTCAAGTGAAGCCTGTGAGCTTGCTCACCCAGAATCTACTTGCTCGAAAGAAAGCACCTTCCAACCCCGTGGAAATGTTCGCGACGCTCGCCGGCAAGGGTTTAATCGATGCTCTAAATATCAAGATCTACGTTCCATTTTCGTCAGATCCGGAGGAACCCCTTGACATGCCACTTGCTCGTGAATCCAAGATCTCTGAGCAGCCGGCTCCGGTGATTGTTGCAGAGGCTATTGGGCTTGCTCTTTGGCAGTATGGGAGTGAAGGCCATCAGCCAGCCATAGAGCGCAGCAAGTTGTCCGTCAACCGCTGGACGCTGCGGATGGTCGAGGATGGTGAAGTGGAGTATGACTTCCCTCCGCTAGGTCGAATGTCACCGATTACAGATTTCACGTCAAACAACAACAATCGGGCAGGTGGCGCGCGAGGGAGGTCGAGAGGCAAGCAGTACGACGAATTTGCGCTTGTCGAGGCATCTCAGGCAGACTTTGAGGAGAACGAACGTCTGTACCCCAAGTTCAGCCAGACCATATCTACTGAGGAGAGCAATGAGCCTACTGCTGCACTTGCTGTGCCGCCAACCCAGCAACCTGCACAATTCAGAGCACCGCCTGCTCGGCCCAATCCCATCCTGGGTCAGCCATTCTCGTCGGCCTTGAACGATAGTACTCTAACCCCGGCAGACCGTCCAGCGGTGCCGGTGTCGCATGCTACGCCTCGCATGGGAGTTGCCAAGACAATTAAAGTGCGGTTCATTAACCTGGAAGCCTCTACGCACGTTATGACTCTCAATACAACGACGGACAGCTACATTGCAGAGCTCCTGGACTCGGTCTGCAAGCGATGGGGTCTGGACAAAGGCAACTATCTCTTAAAGGTGATGGGATCGAACACGGTAGCGCCGCTGGACCGTACAGTTGAAGCGCTGGGCAATATCACAGAGCTGGATCTGGTCCGGCGACGGTTCGGGGCCGGGCCGCTGGCCTTGACGGGATCACCGCACAGCTCCTCGCCCAACGCACCGTTGCTAATTGACAACGCTGGAAACCCGAAGAAGAGCAAGAAGGCCGCTCAACGCATGCTTCCGCTGACCCAAAAACCGGATCTCGTCGGTGGTTATTACAGGCGGTACCACGTGTTCCGCAAACAATCCATGTCATTTACAGCCTCGAACCATCGGACGCTTACATTTGACAATGACTACATGCATATCATGCCGCCGGACACTGGAAAGACGGTGTCGGATGCGAAGACACGGTCGATCAGCTTCAACGATGTGGTCGGGTGCAAGGTAAGTCGCCGGCATCCGAAGAGTTTCCGGGTAGTAGTACTTCGGGGTAATGATGCTACGGAACAAAAGCGGTATGACTTTGAGGCGAGGAATGCGTTGGAGGCGGTTGAAATTGTGGACGAGATTAAGAAGAACATGGCGCATTATCGGATTTAGTCTTCTTTGGATTGCTGCATTGTTACTGGAGTTTAGTGTTAGAAATGAATTCAGAATATTGCCATCTGACTACACAGTTTTGAGTGTCGTATTCAAACACGCTTCAGGGTAATGAGCGGATGGTTGTTTCATTCTCGTACATACTTGAGATGCTCGGGACAAGCGGAGAGGTTGCCCCCATAGCGTCATTCTCCAGAAGGGAACCGTGGGACAGAGGGATGCTCTCATCATCGTCAGTCTGAGTGAGAGAATATGTGGTCGTGGTAGAGGATCATGAATGTAGCTCTCCATAGAAAATACTGGTAGTTGTGCATAGTTGGTGAGGATATTAGTGCCCTGTGGTGACATCAAGCTCTTCCCCACTGTCTGTTCGCTGTCTGCTCTTTCAGTCTACCTCTCTTCTTCCTTCACTTCACCTTTCAACATTTCTTAACACTTTTCTAATAGAGTCACCCTGTGGACTGTCAATTGTCTATTCCGTTTTCTCCAGTTCTCCTAGTCTTCTTTCTCTCTCTTCTCTCTCTTCTCTCTCTCTCTCTCTCTCTCTCTCTCTCTCTCTCTCTCTGTACCCCGTCTCGTCCCATCACCGCTACATCCACCCCGGTCCCCTATTCAAATAGGAGAACTTGACCAATTGTTCAATCCTGATGCCGAACCTCGGTGGGCTTTTGAAAAAACGGCGGACCAAAGATTCGCACACACTGAGCAAAGAGGTGCAAGAATCAGGTTGGTCCTTCCTGCTCTCGTGGCCGTCCACCGTTGCCGAAACACAAACGTCACCCCAAATGCGGCCGGTTTCCCCTCCGCCGCCACACTCCCTCATTCCTTCTCACACACTCTCTCTTTTCTCCTCTCAATCTTTTGTCTTTCCCGGTCTTCCCCTCTTTCTGTACACGCTGAAACTCTCAAATTCTCCGTTGTTTCACTCAATTTCACATTCTTAGTCAGACCTGTCTTCTTTCTCCCCGGTGGTGCTAATTCTCTCTCCTCTCCTTCCTCCCAGGCGCACCCATGCAAGCTACCAACAACCAATCCCACCACCTCTCCCCGGCGACCCAACAGCCGCAGCAGTCGCATGGCGGCACCAGTATTCAGAATCTAGCCAATTTTACCCAACCAAACGCCAATGAGATTGCCCAGCCGCAAGCTGCGCAGCACCGATCACAACAAGAACACCAGTATAATAATCAGCATGCTTCGGGTGGACATCAGCAGCAGCAACAATTACATCAGCCGCAGGCCCAGCAGAGCAACCAGCAACAGCAACATGCGCAGCAACAAAGCCGGTCAGATCGTGTCACCAAGAACAAGTACTCGCTGGAGGACTTTGCCCTGCAACGTACGCTAGGTACCGGTAGTTTCGGTCGCGTGCATTTGGTACAGTCGACACATAACCACCGGTTCTATGCTATGAAGGTCTTGAAGAAGGCGCAGGTGGTTAAGATGAAACAGATTGAGCATACCAATGATGAGCGCAAGATGCTGAGTCGCGCTCGGCACCCGTTCTTGATTACGCTGTGGGGTACATGGCAGGATTCGCGGAATTTGTACATGGTCATGGACTTTGTCGAGGGTGGTGAACTGTTTAGCTTGCTGCGCAAGTCTCAGGTGTGTTCCTTTACATGGAGAGCAAGTCGAAGCCGCAACTGACCCCAGTGCGCAGCGATTCCCCAACCCCGTTGCCAAGTTCTATGCCGCTGAGGTGACTCTTGCGCTGGATTATCTACACACCCAACAGATCATTTACCGTGACCTCAAACCGGAAAACCTGTTGCTGGACCGTCATGGTCACTTGAAGATTACCGACTTTGGGTTTGCAAAGGAAGTCCCAGATATCACATGGACCCTTTGCGGTACGCCCGATTACCTTGCTCCGGAAGTAGTGTCGTCCAAGGGCTATAACAAATCGGTGGACTGGTGAGTTAATAGGAACTTTCTGGTCGGCATGATTGTTGCTGACTAGATAAAGGTGGTCTCTGGGTATATTGATTTTCGAAATGCTGTGCGGGTTTACGCCGTTCTGGGACAGCGGCTCGCCAGTCAAGATCTACGAGAACATCCTCCGCGGAAAAGTCAAGTACCCGCCATACTTGCACCCCGATGCCGTCGATCTCCTTTCGCAGCTGATCACCGCAGACCTGACCAAGCGTCTGGGTAACTTGCACGGCGGCTCGGATGATGTCAAGCAGCATCCGTGGTTTGCAGAGGTGACTTGGGACCGGTTAGCCAGGAAGGACATTGATGCTCCGTATGTGCCGCCTATCCGGGGAGGACAGGGAGATGCCAGCCAGTATGACCGGTACCCTGAGGAGACTGAATCGTACGGTCTTCCGGGTGATGATCAGTAAGTACATTTTACAACATTTATGAAGTGGCGTTCATAACTAACCCTCTACAGACATGGTCATCTATTCCCTGACTTCTAGTGCCGTGCTGAATTATGATAGAATGGTAATTCGCATTATAACAGGATGTCTGTCTGGAACACCGGCATCCTCGTACTGGTAGCACACAGCCGGGAGACGAAGATCGAATAAGGAACCACTACGGTCCTCTGGGATATATTAGCAACAATGGGATAAAAGTTGCCGTTGGCTAGCCAGGTTGCTGGTCAATCTTCTCATCGGTTGGGTTTGGTATAGGTCGGTACTCAGCTCGTCAATTGCTGACGTCCACCAAGATTTATCCGGTCTTGTTTTTGCTCATTCAGGATATGTGGTTTGAAATCTTGGGCTTGCTCTTTGTATCTGACTGTCAGCATTGTTTTTTGTTCTATGCAAGCCTTGTGAATATTCTTCTCATGTGACTTTCATCGCTGTCATTTCGAGTATCTAATTATAAATCCTGGAGTTATCTTCTCGACTTGTGTGATTATATAGTTCAATGACAATTGACTACCTTGGCACCCACCTGGTCTACTCTATTCAACAAGAAACGCGTACATACTATACACGTTTTCATTTGCACTCGCATTCACCATATCGTACAATCTTGAAAATTCATCACAAGACAACACCCCTCAATTGCATTTTCAATCATACATCATGCCTTAATCCCCACCAGTAGCCAACGAATTCATAGCAATAGTCTCCTGCGACCCATACTTCTTGCTCTCCTTTCCGACCCGCGCAATGTAGCTCTTGCTAGCAACGTTCCACAGCGAAATGTACTTCTCCATGCATGTCGAGAGACAGCCTTCTTCGGATGACGAAAGGGTCGAACCTGGCGAGGGGATGCACTTGTCGAAGCAGTGTTCGTTGACTTTCTGTTTGTGTTTATTACACATTAGTCAATTGCGCTGGCATATAGTTGGGGGTAGTAGTCTGGATTGAAGGAGAGGGTGTAGCGCACTCCGATCAATTGCCGGGCGTTGTTCACGGCGGCTTCTTGTTGCAGTTGCTTAATGATGGTGGATTTGATCTCGTCGACGTTGCCAGACGAGCCGGAGCTGGAACCGAAGATGGCCATTTTGAGTTATTTTTATGTCGTGTATAGGGTGAAAAGAGGTGAATTGGTGTGAGAAGGTATAGTTGTAGTAATTGTGGTAGTAGTGATGATGCAAATCTCGGTAGTGTGGCTAGTGCAGAGCTGCCCTGTTGCGCCACAGGCGCCACCCTAGACTCCGATGTGGACACTTGGATGTTTATGGGACTTGTCTTGCCGGCCATTTCTCTTCGTATACATTCACTCCTTTTCTTTCTACGGCTATTTTGCTTCTCTGCTGGAGGGCTTCTTTTATGTCTCTGTGGTAAAAGTGTCCCGGTGACATTGACCACACTAACCTCGCTATAACAATACAACTAGGTAGTAGGTACCCCGGTATAGCTATCGATCTGCCTTGCTACGCCCCCCTCGCGAGAATCATTCGCCTACTGTCTGTCTTTCAACTTCCATTCTTCTTCGATTTCGATACTACAATTGCTTCAGCTACTCTCTTTGCAACTTTCTTATTTTATATATATCGTTGATTGACAGCCAACATGCTCCTCCCGCGGCTCTCGTCCCTACTCGGTCTGGTGGGCCTGGCGACTGTCCCGCTGACCAATGCTTATGACGATTCGAATATCAAGAGTATTCCAGTACGCCCCCCTTTTGCCCTTAAATTGAAAGGAGTGAAAGGAGTGGTGCTAACTTGAATAGCTCCGCACTCACAGTCTCTCACCGGTGGGTCTAGTTTCTCGGGGTGCTTGTTTAGGGTCATAACTTCTGACGTCGATAGCCTTACCTGGATTCCGACTTCCAAAGCCGCTGGTTCGATTTTGGTGGTGATACGATTGTTCGCGCTGACCAGTATGTTCGCCTGGGATTGTTTGTATAGGGGATGAGGCTAAATAATCAGGTATATCCGTCTTACCTCGGACCGGCCGTCGCAACAAGGATGGGCATTTTCGCGGGTTCCGTTGACTGCGACTAACTGGGAAGTGAGTCTCTTTGCCTGCTGGAGTAGTAAGGAATGAGTATTAATAACGGCAGATTGAACTCGAATTCAAAATCCACGGAGAAGGTAACCTGCACGGCGATGGATTCGCCCTGTGGCTTACCAAGCAGCGCGCAGTACAGGGCCCGGTCTTTGGCTCGACGGATAACTTCGAGGGTCTTGGTATCTTCTTCGACACCTACAAGAACAACCGTCCCGGTACCTCGTTTCCATTTGTCATGGCTATGATGGGTGATGGCAAGACGAGCTATGACCAGGCGCATGATGGAAAGGCCAACCAGTTGGCTGGATGTTCTGTACGTCACTAAACACCAAGAACAATTGAAATGTGCTAACAAGACAGGCACGCGGCCTCCGAGGCGCCTCTATCCCCACCAAAGCCCGCCTAACTTACTTCCACGACCAATCCTTAACTCTCGAACTTCAATACAAATCCGAAGACAGCTGGACAACGTGCTTCGAACTCAACGCTGAAGAAGCCAACATTGCCATCCCCTCCGTCGCCTACCTCGGTCTCTCCGCTGAAACCGGTGAACTTAGCGACAATCACGACGTCATCTCGCTCAAGACCCAAAATCTGTACAGTGTTGGCGGAGGTCCGGCAGGTCCTGCGCGCGGAGGCTCTTCCAGCGCTTCTAAGGACCGGGGTACTGTCAAGACTTCTAAAAGTAAGACCAAGGAGTCTGATGGTTGGGGTTGGTTCTTGTTTAAGGCTGTTTTGTTTGTCTTTGCGCTTGTGGGTGGGTACTTTGGATACACGGCTTATCGGGCTAAGCAGCGGTATAACAGGTTCTAAGTGAGGGAAGGGAGAAAGGAGAAAATGTTATATTCGTATGGTTCGTTAGTTTGTCGCATACATAGCCTGTTTTCTGTCAACGAAGCGGATGATGTAACCTTTTGGATACCGTATAACCTAGACACAGTAACGCAATCAATGTAGGGTATCATAAAACAATTCTAACGCCAATGCAATGAAAAATAACAACAGCTAAACCCGCTCCTTCAACTCATTCCACATCCGATCAATAATCTGAAAAATCTCAGTGACACTCTGCATAATATCCTCATCAATCCCCAATGCACCATACCGATGCTGGATCTTATCCGGATGCCACCGAACACGCTCCGTCTTCAGCACAGAAACCAACGCCTCATCACCACCCATCTCCGGCGCAGAGACTGGCACAAGCGCAAGCCGCATAAACTCTTCAACCGCCTCCCCCGAAACATCACTCCTCTTCCCAGACTCAACAGGCCAAAACACCAATTCCCCCATATCCTTCCGCCCATCAGTCTCCTCACGGCTCCCCTCCCTCAGCGAATTGATTATATCCCACCGGTTTAAATACCCCTCCCCAACTCCCCTCCAGACCCTCCCCATCTTCCTCTCCCGCCCCCTAGCAAGGCTCTCCTCCATAGCCCTCTCAAACGCCCTCCTCTCTCTCTCCCCCTCAGCCCCTCTCACCCTCTCCTTTTCCTTTCTTGCTTTCTCTCGTCGTTCTCGAATCAACTGTTCCTGTATCTCAACCATCCCCTCCCTCGTACGCTCCCACATTCTTGTCCGCACGTACGCCGCGTATTCATCCTCGGTCATGGACTCGAGTTCCCCATTCGGGCCCTTGGGGACAGGATAGTTGTGGATGGGCTGACCGTAAATAGATTCCCAGTATTCAGCACCTTCGTCGTCGCCGAGGGCATCAAAGAGGGATTCGCGGAAGGCTGCATTGGGCGATAATCCTCGTGGGTTGTCCTCTGGCGGCGGTGTGGTGGTGTGGTTGTGGCGTTTGGAGCGGTGGTGGGAACGGTGGTGGGAACGGTGGTGGTCACGGTCACTGTAGCCTCTTTTGCGGTGACTATGGCGGTGTGTATCTGGGTCGTCGCGTGAGGCTCGTGATTTGGAAGAAGATTTGAAGCGGAATTTTGATTTTCGCGCGCGGGTGTAGTCGTCGCGATCTGGATGGGAGTGGGCTTGGGAGTATGTGTCGGCGGTTAGGGCCGGGGGTGCCTCTTTTGTTTGAGCGGGATCCATCTGTTAGAACAGGTTGATGTTATGCGACTAGCATTATAGCTCTGAAAGCGCGTACTTGTAGATGAGAACGGATATCCGGCGTAGAAACGAGGATGGATAGTGTCAACAGCGATAGCCAATAGACGACGGCTAAAGTTGGATTAATCAGACTGTTATCTTATCAGATCATCATCCCCGTGATGTCATCCGATCAAAAAATCATCCAGAAAGGAAATGTCCTCCGTAGTTCAACCCTAACCTCATCAAGGCTCTTCCACCGACTCGCTTACTACTCCGTACTCGTCGTGCATACCTACTAAATAGTATATACAAACTCCGTACTATATCCGAACAAGTGCTCTCCTCCGTACATGCTAAAGTCATGTTTCAAACTAACCACGCTAATATCAGACGGACCCTGGGGCTGTGTTCGCTGCGCCAGGGTCTTTGATATGATGTTTCAGACAGAAGAACGGTTTATCGGAGGATTGTGGGACCATAGTGATAGGCGGTGGTTCTAATAAACTCTGACCCTGACAGATGTTAAATTTTCTTTATTTGTGCCGTGCTTTTGTTCTTTTGTTCTTTCTTGTTTATTATATAGGATTGGCGGGCGGGAAGGATATTTATCGGTATTTTTTGTCCATCAATCCTACACACTTCAAACAGTCAGAACATGATATACGGCATAAAAACACTGGCACAATGGACATATCCCTCGGCCCATACCGATTCAACTATCCCGATGACGGCCTGGCAATATACAAACTAGAGGATCTAGTCGAGCAGTACTTCCTTTGTAATGAGCATTTCTGGTTCCAGGTTCTGTGTGTCGGGGGGAAGATGTTCAAGTTTCGGGTTTCGACGCATACGGAGGAGGAGCAGGGGATGAAGATTTGGAAGACGTTTCGGGGGGTCCCGAGGGAGAAGAGTATGTATTGTGATTTTCGTTGTTGATCCTGAGGCGTACACTATATCGTTATTCGTAGAAATTGTACTGACGGAATAGGATCATTGAGTGACTACATAGATGTCCAGAAAGGAACTGCTGGTCAGTTTCATTTGATATGGATGTCTGTTGTGGAGTTATCGCTGGCACTACGCATTCTTGAAGACAGAATTCGAGGTCTGGGAGACGACGAGGAAAACAAAAGTTTCAAAAAAGAGTGTCAGAAATTGAAAGAAGCAATGATAGTTGCAAGGAAGTGGAAACAGAAAGAGGAGATGCAGGGTCAGTGTTGTTGGTGAGTTCATGGCCTCTTTTTCTGTTTTTTCTGGGACAGGGTGTTTCTAACTGGTCTGGAATGACAGCATGAACCTTAGTTTGTTGGGATGTGGTTGTTATTTTCCGGAATGTTCCGGTGTTGACTGTGGTGGGTGCTAGGAGCAATGTTTGTATGCGATATCGATGGTCTTTGGGAGACGATAAAGAGGCATTGTCACAGTCATTTTGATACTCATTCCCTACTGATTTAATTTTGAGCACTTGGCTTGGTTTAGTTTCTTATATTAAATGAATTATGTTGTCGACTATATTTACACTCTTGCTTTACCAGCCATAGCCGTAAAAGTCTTGAGAGAATCTGTGTTCTTCAGGTTCCGGAGTCCATCACATCAATTGGCCCGTATGCTTTGTGCGATGGTTTTTCCATTGTTTGACAGGGGAGAAGATTGAATGAACAAAAAGTGGTAAAAGTAGATTTCACTACTCCTGTCTAGTGTCCGACCCCGTCCAACGCTAACAAGGACAGGCCCGAATAGTCATACAGTAGATTGAGTTAGATCTTAATAAAAAACAAAAGGTCGATATCTATATCTTTACTTTTATGGTAATCACTGCAGATAGTAGTTGAAGAGCCGGCTCTGATATGTCAGTGACAAACAGACAGTAGTTACCTGAAACACTATGTTTATTTTCTGTTGATATATATCTGTTAGTACATGTTGGACGATGCTGTATAGGATGAAAGGTTTTGCAGCGTGACGATGTCTGTTCTGGAACCTTCATAGTCCCAATTAGGAGTGGGACTTCCAATAAATTTACAAGAGAACACTGATAGTCATTGGGTCTAGCTTTACCAGTTCCTGGTTAAAATCACTTGAAACTGAATTTCAGTCTCACTTCAAGTTACAGGGCCGTCAAAACATAACCATGCGAATGTCTCTGTGTCCAACAGGGTGCTCATGGCCTAACCATACACACGCTCCAACACAAGCTCAGCAGGTGTATATTCATTCTCCGATTCCTTGAACGGATCTGCACCGTCCTCAAGGAGAAAGGAAATTATATGGCCAGAACTGTGAGGAGGTGTCGCACGCAGTACAGAACCAGGATAAATACCCCCTAGATGTCTATAGCCACAGGGGCTAGGAGCATTGGCATCGTAGCAGTAGTCAAGATGTCACTGGATCACTAGCTTCCAGTTATTATCTTGCCTCTTAGTTGCGTGTATCACAGTAATTCTCTTCTTGAGATCTGCTCCCCTTTCAAGTAACAACCTGACTGTACCCACAGAAGCGTTTCTGGCTGTAACGTTGAGAGGGTGTCTATCGGCCCTGGTGTCTGGATTTGGATCTGCTCCGTGATCGAGCATCCATCTAGTAGTGGTTTGCTTTTGGAAAGCCAGGAGACAAAGAAGAATCGACCAATTAGTGGTGGGATAAATTCATACATGATGGGAAGAGAAACTCAAACGTACGCATAACGGGCCACAATCTGGTCCACATCTCACCCATAATGATACAGGACTTCCAAAGTTTCCACCCTCTTCTCAGCGGGCCCCCCAATGGCACATTTTCCTATCCTACTGCCAATTAGTACACCTAGCTCCACAGATATTTTATTAGAGAAATGTCTCCCTTTTTTATGGCATTCATCACGGGCAGTGCAAAATATGTGCGATCGAGCTCTAGATTAAGAGAATATTTATCTGCAAGCTATCCTTCAGTCACGGAATTGATTTGATCAAGTCTTTTTGCATTGTATAGATGCTGCTCCCTTTCGTAAGTTTTGAGGCTTGCAAGGCTCGGCTGTTCATCATCGTCTTCGGAATGAAATTATGGCCTCTTAGTAGTCGTTGACAGAACTTAGGAATATCTGAATAGAGAAAAGGAAGCAATTTGGAAGTACCGAGTTGTTTGGGGTGATTGTAGTAAATAATTTGAAATGCAGTCACGAGAGTGGTGGTGCATTGCTTCCAATCAGCCTTATCGACTATTTATAATAGTTTGTCGTCGTCTTCGCGGCTTGCAAGCTCGTAAATATATACTTCAGGCTGCAGACTTGGAAAGATGTGTTCCTGGACAGAAGCCTTTTTGCAACTCTGCTACTCCATACCCACCGACACTGGTGTCATGACAGCAGGTTGATTGGCTTTGGCCTTGTATTGCAAAAGTCATCATATATGCCTTTCTTTGGATTAGGATTGTCCCTTGACTCTCGCATACCCAGATACTGTTGAGTGGTGTTTTATGAGAATCCAATTAGCTCTTAGTATTTGTTGATTACAAACACATCCATAGTTTCTTGCATTGCTCGCAGAGTCATTGTAACCTTGCTGCATAAAATATCACTGAACAGGATGCAAAATGGCATGGCATGGCAGGAGCAATACGCTGGCATAGAATGGCCACTCTATGCCAAGAATTGAAGATCCCATTCATGAATCATGTATGTTCCTTCTTCCAATCTATCTCAGTAGTTGGACGCCTGGGGACTGGAACAAAAGACTGTTTTCCTTGAATTTGGCCTGGAAACTCAATCAAAATTAACTAACTTTACGCTTTCTGGCAACATAATGATAGACTTAGCTTCTTTCATGAACAGCCTTCTGGACATAGTTCCTGTAGTTCTCCAACATGTTTTGTATGTTTAGGCTGCCTCCACTAACCTCGATGAGAATTCTGGAATTTTATACAGATGTTTCAATGTACGGTCATCAAGTAATAGGAGAAAATAGCTCAGGTCCGCTGTCATTATCGGGATAATCAGGATTGCTCTATTACCTCGCGGCTCCACAGGATAAATCAGATACAAGTGATATAAATGGCATGGAGGGATTTTATCTTCAGCTACTCTCGCAGCTATCATATTTCGCTCTTGACACACTCTTTCTATGGGCCGTGGTTAAAAGCCCTGGTATCTGTTCTGTGAGCTTAGCACATCTCGAGCCAGATATACTCCAGTAGTAGTAGTTACTACGGCTGCACAGAGTCTGTACTCCGTACAAAAGGCATTCCTGGAGGTATACAAGCACTAATCCTTGGTTGACTTTAAATATACTCTGAGCATAGATTTATCGTTGCTGACCGAAGATGCACTCTAGAGTATGTATAGCAAGCTACTTCGGAATAGGATATAAATGTGAAATTGTGCATTCAATATTGTCCGTAGTAGTCTTTCAAATGGGGCACCCTACAAACTGTCACCATTGATCAGCTGTACAGATATATGGGTCTCAGGTACGACCCCAACGCAACCATGTCAGTAACTGGCCAAGCAGAAATGAACTCTGATTACAGCATCCGCCCGGCCCATTTCGGAAATGAGGTTGGTGGGCTGCAGATAATTGCATGAGTAACACCCCGAGCTATTGCGAGCGAACCATAGGAATCCGGTATGCAGATCTTCCAGCACTGATCAAGCAATCAGCTTCCCGGAATATCTGAAATGGATTCAGTGGAGAATTATTGCTACTCTCAGACAATTCTCGATAACCATCGGCAAATTCCACAAATCACATCGTCTCGATCTCCGTTCCGGACCCTGATGCTGGGTCTTGTCACTCGTGGAACTACATCGGTGGATATGTATTGCCGCAGTTCAGGTCATGTTGTGACTGTTGAGAGCTGAAGTAGCAATAGTGCCCTCAGAAAAAAGCCCAGTAGTGGAAAAACAGCGCCTTGAGAAGCTGAAAAGTGGGCGGGCTTCCAGGTTTGGGAATTATACTTCTGGTGGCGAACCTCCGGTCATCCGCGATGCATTTTTGCAAGATCATTGTAGCCATATCAGTCAGCCATGTTTTCTTATATCCATAAGGGAATACGGATGCAGAATCTTCACGAAACTCAGATTCCATTAGCCTATGGAAAGTCCGGTGGTCCCTGCACTAGGGCAGTCACTTAACTCTGTTCGTTAGTACAGAGCTACCGGGTAAGATGAACTTGCAGATTACAATTATCCGAACCAAACAATTGGGATTCCAGATCCAGATTCTACACTTCCACTGACCTAACTGGGAAGGTCAATGTCCACCGTAGAAAAATGAGGGCCTCATGGCAGCCGTATTGATTCGAACCGGTTTAGGAGTGCGAAATATCTGCTCTCAAAGCATATAAAAGCCGGCCGGATTCTTCTTTTGCTCAACCATCCTTCATTCATTTCACGCTCTTACTTCAGTCACTCTTTTCGTGATCCTACCCGAGTCATTCTCTACCATATCAAAATGAAGGTCACTCTCATCACTGCCCTCGCTGTCCTGGCCTCCTCGGTCGTTGCTGCCCCTGCTGGCAGCCTGCCCATTGTTGGCGAGGCCACCAAGGCCCTCAACCTCGGATCTTCCGCCTCCTCCGCCTCCTCTACTGTCCCGTCTGCCTCCTCCACTCCCTCCTCTTCTGTCTCCGGCGGCCATCTCGTCCAGGATGTTAGCAAGCCTGTCAACCAGATCCTGAGCGTCGCTGGCCCCGACGCCAAGCAGCTGCTCATCGAGCTCAGCCCTGAAGTTACCGCCCTCCTCTCCGGCCTCGGCCTGGCTGGCCTTGGTGGCCCCGTTGGCTCCATCGTCGCCTCCGCTGCCAGCGTCGGTGACCTTGTCAAGGATCTTGGCCCCAAGGTCGAGGGCCTCCTCACCGTCGTTGACAAGGACCTCGGCGCTCTGCTGATCCAGCTCTCCCCCGAAGTTGCCGGTCTTGTTTCCGGTCTCGGTCTCCCCAACGTCGGCGTGCCCGTCGGCAGCGTCGTCACTACCGTTGGCCAGAACGTCAAGCGCGACGGCAAGGTCGTCCAGGACCTTGCCCCTAAGGTCCAGGACGTCCTTGAGGTTACTGGCCCCAACGCTGAGCGTCTTCTCGTTCAGCTGAGCCCCTCTATCGCCTCGCTTCTTGCTGGCCTTGGTCTCCCCAGCGTTGGTACCCCCGTTGGTGAGATTGTCAAGAAGGCTGGCTCAGTTGGTGAGCTTGTTAAGGACCTCGGTGCCCCTGTCAACAACCTTCTCACTGTTGTTGGCCAAGATGGTGGTGCTCTCCTCATCCAGCTCGCCCCTAGCGTTGCTGGTCTCCTCACTGGCCTTGGTCTGCCTGCTGTTGGCTCCTCTGTCGGCTCGGTCGTTGCCACTCTCGGTCAGAACCTGTAAATGGTAAGCTCACTTTAATTTTGATAGCCCGTTGATATCCTCATTCCCATACTAACATCGAATCAGTTTTATACCTCTAAATGAGCTAGACGGCGCAACCTTCATCGCCACCACATGACATGCCCATCAACGACGCATCAAAAAGTCGGACTTGGGATATATAAGAGAGTTTCTCTTCTCTTTGAACCTTTCCGGCTGGATAGATATTTTCCCTTGCATTGTATACATCATCTCACTTGCGTCATGCAATGACATATAAAATCTTTTACAAGAATAATAACTAATTCTATGATTATAAATTTGGTGTCCATGAATGGGCTCCAATTTTAGACGCCAGGCATCAAATAGCGTAATAGGCTGCAACCAAATCGGACGAAGGCATGATTATCCCACAACAGCTCTAAAATAAAAAACTAAGGAAACACATTTCTTCGCAACCATGTTCTCCATAATTTCCCACCGAAACCCAGAAGGATGATACGGGCGCCTCAAGATTAAAGCTGTCCGAACGACGAGCAAGTTGAGTAACCCTTCTATCAGAAAGGGCCACCCAGAGAAAAAAAAAAAAAAGTCAGAATCATCCTCGCAATACAATGCGGCGCTACAAGAAGATATGTCTAAATGAGAGAACTTGAGAACAGGCTGAAAGATGCTGACTACACTCGACTCGCCCAGATCCTACACTGGCATCTGTTTGGCAACCAGGACATCACGTGGAGGGATGATGATCTGAAATGGTCTCAGTTGTTGGTGATTGAGGCGGAGATTGAAGCACACTGGGCACTACAGAGACAGGTCTATCTCCAAGAGAAGGTCAAAGCTTTAAAAAGACATTGTCGGCCTTGTGATTGGATGACACCAGAGCCACTGAATCTCTGCTTCTGGCATATGAAACGGAGTTCGAGGGTTTGAAGGATAGCTTCAAGGATCGTGCATAAAGTCTCTGGGAACTGGAAAGGGATATGCCTGTTGGGACGCTGGAGCGAGCCTCGAAAATGCGGGAGTAATCCGGACTAGTATTTATGCAAGTTCCTGCGCCAGGACTGTGTTGGCCGTGGGAGCTATTGCGCGTGAGGTTGCGGATGCTGTGGTAATAAAGATTGAGGGTACTGTACGAATGCTTGTGGCTGTTGTATTCGCACCCATGGGCGCTCTGGGAATCTAGACGAGGATTTGGATCTCAGAGTTAGGCATGGCATGCCGATTGATGTTACGACTAATGCTGCTTATTCCAGGCGGTTCCTTTGTGCGTACATTTGGAGGTTAGGTTTTGTGGATGAACTGGGTTTGGTAGATTATTGACGTTAATGACGCTACATGATACGCCTCATTTTTGTATTGGAATAATTTCATGGCTATCTTCACCTTTTCTCTTTTCTGTTACCGGTCGATTTTGCGTAGTGTCCCATCCGCACCATTGAATAGTCTCGACAAACCAGAACCAGCCTGGGAGGATAGTAGCTTCTTGCTTCGACTATATATTGAGTTGAAGTGTGACATTCGGTTAGTCTCTTCGAATGATTGGAATACCCATATACTGCCTCTCGCCATGATATTTTCGTCATGTTGACCGGTTTCTTCTCATATACTACACAGATATGGTATGCAGCCCTCGGAGATCAATCAATCTACAAGAATACATCATGACACACATACCTTCAAGGAAGAGTTGCATAGAGAACGAACCATGCGATTATCATACTAGGCGAACCGGAATGCTGGACATCCTTCCTAGTCCCTTTATGGGGAATGTATCGGATACTGTTAACTCGATATGCTGGCAGGCAGTATGGAGAGGCAATCTGATAATAATTCAACTTATTATATTCGAATTATTCTATTTACACAGAACGTTTTAAGGCTCTGAAGAGGCGTAATGACATCTATACAATGGCCAATAATAACACTGATAAATGACAGTCATACCGTGGCAAAACGTTGTAAATAACATCACCGCCCAACTCTCCAGACCTCATCCACTGACGAATCCCATCATCTGAACTGCAAACACACCAACTCTCCTATAATGGCTCTCGTCAATTATTCCGACTCAGAAGCCTCAGATTCCGAGCAAGAAAATATTACCCAACCCCAACAGAAGAAGACCGTCTCTGCGCCTGCACTCGCACCCACCAATAATCCCTCCAAACAAACCTCCGGCGCAAACTTCTCGTCCATCGTCGACCGCAGTAACCCCCGCAAGATCCGCGTTGCATTACCCGAGATCAAACCAGAAACTACAGATGGTGATCAGGAAAGCGAAGATGGACCTGCGCGGAAGAAACCAAGGTTAGGTGGTGGAGGTGCTTTCTCGGGATTCAACGCGATGCTACCGGCTCCGAAGCGGAAGACTGTCACGGCGGATAAGGATAAGAAGCCTTCTGGGCCGGCGCGGAAGGTGTTTGGTTTGAAGACGGGTGCAGCTCCGGGATTCGATCGTTCGGCTGATGCGGAGATGCGGCATAACCAAGCTCTGGACGGCGATGATGAGGATATTCCCAAGGCGGGAAGTCTGCAAGGCGAGAATTATATTGAAGGAGGTTCCTCAGAAACTAAGCCTCCACGGAAGCCAGAAGGGGAGGTGAAGTTGAAGGGCAACGCGATGATGTTTAAACCGCTCTCTGTGGGACGGAATCAGAAGAAAAAGCCTCCCCCTACACCTTTACCTGCTGCCGATGAATCGAAGCCAGTTCCGCAATTAAAGCAGCAGCAGCAACCTGCACAACAGGCCCCTCCACCACCTGCACCAAAACCCAAAGTCAGCCTTTTCTCCATATCCTCAGAAGACTCGTCCGCGACAGCTCCTTCGACTGGCCCTGCACAGAGCACAACTTACCAGCCGTTGGTCTACAACACAATTCCCGATGCACCTGTAGCAGGTCCCGCACTAGAGTCTGAAGCTATTACTACATCAGAAGCGTCAACCGCAACGCCGCAACAAACCCAAACGCTTGACAACATCGCAGACGACCTTAATTTATCCCGTGCGCAACGACGCCACTTGTTCGGCCGACATGGAGACACATCCAAGTCCCGGATCCTGAACTTCAACACAGACACAGAGTACGCCGCCAACCAAGAAATGGCGCAGGGCACAGATCTTGCCGCAGCTCAACACAATCCCGTCCGAGCAATTGCGCCAGGAAAACACACTTTGCAACAGTTGGTCAATGCTGCCAGCAACCAGCGGGATGCATTGGAGGAAAGTTTTGCAACGGGACGAAGGAACAAGAAAGAGGCTGGGTCGAAGTATGGGTGGTGATATGTTACCTGGCTCGGGTTGCATCCGCTTTCAACATAATTCCAATCTAATCTGTACAATATAGACATTTAATGAGTTATGACCCCCTTATTTTACCATGCTTGTGGCCTGGGAAATCCAGTTGACATAATAATTGAATTGAAACACGCCATGTACACTGCTTTTGTATGCTTATTTACATTTCAAAAACAAGCAAGAAACTTTTCTTTAACCTTGTATAACCCCCCAAAAAATCATGCAATGCTTTTAAGAAGAAACATCAACAACCTCAGCAAACCACTGCTTCAACGCTGTAGCCAAAACAGCAGGCAACTCCCTCACATCACGCACAACTAAGTAGTAAGGGAACGGGAATCCCTCCAAATACCTCTTCATCTTTAACTTCATCTCCCCAGTCCCACTTTCAGCATCGGGCTCGAAGCTCGCCTGGCTGAGATCCAGGATCGAGCTTCCCTTGACAGCATCCACGATAATGAAGACAACCATGATTCGCTCCTCGAGTGCCTGGCGCACAAGACGGCGGATGGTATCGTGATCTTCACAGATACCATCTGAGATGATCAGTTCCAGTTGCCATAGGTCAGCGCTGCCAGAGCCAGGAGAGCGCTTGAAGCGCGCCTCGCGGAAGAGGGCGATGGAGTCGGCGATGAGCTTGCGTACGTTCGTGCCAGTCTGCTGGTAGCTGAAGTGCTGGAAGACCTCCGTGCCCGCGTCCGAAGAGAATGGTTTACCGAAGTCATGCGCAACGCGGACATGATCCTCGTTGCCGAAGCCCAGGACACAAAGATCGCCTGCCTCAAGCATACTGAGAGACTTTGCGACGAGGGCGAGGGTTTCGAAGGCAAGTTGGCCGCTGCCGCTTTCTAGCATGGACTTGCTGTCGTCGACAGCGAGCATGATTTGGTAGTTGCGCTTGGAGGGGATGGAGCGGCGCATCCAGATCTTGTCGCGCTTGTATTGCGAAGCGATGTAGGGGATGATGCGCTTGATGTTGAGACGTTTTCCGGTGCGGAAGTCGCCACGGAGTTTGGTTGCGAGGGTTGGGGCGAGGATTAGGCGGAGTTGTTCGGTGAGCGAGAGGGAGAGATCGTTGGTGGCGGATTCGTATTGCGACCAGAGGCGTTGGGCTTCGTCACGAGGGGTGAGCGGTGGGAGAGTGGAGGACAGGTGGATGGCTGCCAAATGGGAGTCCATCTCGTCTAGCTCCTCGTTGAGATCTTGCTGGCCAAGGGACTCGGTTGTCCGTTCCTGGGTCTGAGCGTTACCGGGAATCATCGCACCTGCCCCTTCTCGTTCTGTGGGTATTGCGTCGTTGTCCACCTGCATCTCATCCTCCAGCTGGTTCTCAGGGGGATCCTCTTGTTGGTCGTTCGACACGTCGGGCAAAGCCTCGTCATTGGGCTTGACATCGGACTCAACACCCTTATTCTGGTCAAGAGCCTTTGCTTGCTCTTCGTTAGCTTGGCCAAGGGCTTGCGTGTCAGCGACATCATCTTGATCTGCGAGATGTTCGAAGTCTGCGTCTGCCATGTCGGTATCCTCAGGCAGCTGTTGTTCAGTTTCGTCTTCCTGTTTTGAAGATTCCATAATCTCCTTCTGGCGACGGTGCCACTGCTCCAAGATGTCGCCCATCTTCTTGAACGCCTGCATCTCAGGCTTTTCGGATTCCGTGTTATCGTCCGCACCACCTGCGTCGCGGCTTCGCTTGCTGTCTTCGCCGTCCTGGGCAGCACCAGTCTGCTGCTCAGTGTTTGCAGGATCCGCCGCGCCATCTTTTTGTTGCGCGTCGCCGGATGCACCCTTGTCTTGGTTCTGGTCTTGATCGGCGCCGAGACCTCCGTTGACAGCTTCGCTAGGAGCAACTTCTTCTCCCGCAGCTTCGTTCTCGTCGCGCTGGGCGAGGAAGTCGGTTTCTTCCGGTTGTTCTTCATCCTCACCAGGAGCATTGGCTTCGTCATCGCCTTCAGCTTCGTTGGCCTCGGCCTCCTCGGGCTTCTCTTCTTCGTTTTCGCCTCCCTCTTCTCCCTGCTCCTCTGTTGTCTGGTCCATATCAGCGGCGTCTTCCTCGGCGTTTTCTCCCTGTTGCTCAGTTTGTTCTTCCTCGGGTGCCGCACCCATGTCGGAAAGCTCATCCATTCCATCATCGTCTTCACCTTCGTCTTTATCTCCCTGGTCTTCTCCATCGAGCTGCATCTCCTCAGGAAGGTCAAGCGCTTCTTCCTCCTTAGCGTGCGGATCAGTCACGTCCAAATCTTCACGCCCAACAGCCTCGCCCTCGTCATCCGGATCTTCTTCCTCTTCGTCTTCCTCCTCTTCCTCCTCTTCCCCTTCCTTGCTCTTCTCACCTTTTTCCTGGTCCTTCTGTTCCTGGTCCTTCTGTTCCTGCTCCTTCTCCCCTGCGGTCTGCTCTTCCGATTCCGTGGCACCCTTGCCCTCTTGCGTTTCAGTTTCCTTTTGCTGCTCATCACGTTCACCATCCCACATCTTCTCATCAAGCGCATCGGTATCGAGATCGTTGACACTGCCAACTTCCTCGTCAATATCATCATCTCCTTCTTCACCACTCTCATTTTCCTCATCCTCTTCTTCCTTACGCTCGCCAGATTCTCCCTGCATCTCCTCCTGGTCCATGTTCACCGCATCCCCAGAGTCTTCCTGATCCTCCTTAGCTTCCTCATTCTGCTGCTGCGCAAGCTCAGACAAATCCTCATCATCAGCAACATCCTTGCTGATATCCTCCGCACCTTCACCATCACCAAGACCCGTACCGCTTTCCAGCTGGCCAGATTTGCTCTCTTCACCCGTGGACGCCTCGGCTGGTTGACAGAATCCTTCAGACGCAATCGTCATGAAAGACTTTGCGAGAACGTAGGACATCTTACATGTTTCGCGGTGGACGGAGATAAAGCGGTCGGTGAGATCTTCGCAGATGAGGTAGTACTTGTTCATAATCGGCAGGACACTTGCGATCAATGCGGAAGCATAGGGAATATCGGCACCGGAGTGCAGTGTGTCCAAGACAGACTCCAGGGATGAGGTGATTTCAGACAAGCGGACAGACTTGATGGTACGACTGAAGAACTCGTCACTGCGTGCTAAGGTACCTTCAGAGGTGAGTGCGGCCGGCACCTCCTTCAACTTCTGCAAACCGACGAGTATCTTGTCAACACCATTGAGTAGATTTGCATCGAAGTCTTGGACGGCTAATGCCATCGTTCCGTTTTGCTGCATGTTCGAATCGGTCTTCGTATTAATCCAGGGTGTGATTTGGTCCAATGCGAAAGACAAGTCAGGGCGTTCGGAAGTCCACTTCGCAAGGTCGACGGTCAATTGGTTGAGTGAGGACCATGACTCCTCGATAAGGGCTTGATGTTGCTGCGAAGAAACACTGAATGGCAGCGCAGGAAGGTTGACCAAAGACTTGTGCAGGTAATCAGACGTAGCTTTCCATGCTCGCAGGTCCTTGGAGATGACCGCCGCGTCGATCCCAGAAAACCTGGAGTGCACGTCCACAATTTCCGCGGCCATTCCAAGAATAGGAGTTAGCCATGCGACAATCTTCGACAGATCTTGGCTTTCAGTCGGATATTGTGAAGCGGAGAGAGACTTAAGACCAGATTGCCACAGATTAGACACCTTGGCGATCGTAGACTTGAAGGAGCTTAAGTTCGAAAGGGCCGGGGAGATGACGCCTCTCTGCTTTCTGAGTGTGAAAAGCAGGTGTTCGATAGAACCCATACCCCTCGACGCTTCAACATTGCTCAGCTCCTCGGAGTAGTGGCGCGATGCTTGGCGAGTACGAGGCAATAGGTCCAAGAATCTGTGGAAATAGGAGTTGGCATTATGGATCAGATGCGAGGACACGGGGCTGATTTCGAGGGTGTCAGTCGTAGCAAGGACTTGTGCGGAAGACGCCTGGCTTTCGAGCAAGCTGGTGCTTGCATTGCGCTTGATTCCCATCTCCAAAATTTGTCGCAGAGTATCGGCAAAGAAACGACGCTTCTGAATCTTGAGATGCTGAACATCCTCCTTGTTGTCTTCAGTCAGCATCTTCGGCGTCTGAGACTTGAAGTCATTGATGCCCTCAATGACATAGCTGACGAAGTTGCCGATATCCTCAGCGATGTCGAAGTCGGAAGGCATGGAGGAGTACAGCTGCGTCATGTTGTTGATGGTGGTATTCACATTCTTGAACCGGGGCGCTCTGTTAAGCCACAGCGCGCTGTCCTTCTGACAAATGTCTAATGCTTCCGGAATAACAGCCGTAGGCAGAGATTCAGTACGGACAGAAGCAAGGCTAGGCTCCTCGTTGTAGTCAGACATTCCCTGTTCTAGGGTCGGTTGGACAGGTCCCGCAAGGGCTTCGCGGTATTTCCGAACGAGCTTGAAAAGTTTGTGGTGGGATCGCTTGGCACTCTCCCTTAGGGCAACGATGTTGGTGTCCTTCCAGCTAGCTAGTTGTATTTGCTCCTTAATGTCTTTCTCAAGACCAACGCGTTTCTCAATCAAGAGCTTGTCGACGAGAGGTTCGAACGGCTTGTAGTGCTCGAGGAAGTTTTGCAGGCCAGAAACAAGCTGTCCCAGCAAAGGATAGTCTTGAACGTAAAGCTGCAGCAAAGACCGGAAATTGGCAACGAGACGTAGGCGCTCGCTGTATTGTCCCAAAGTTGTCGAAAGGAAGAACTGTTCGAGAGTTGCGATAACCTCTTGGATATGACTACCCATGTCGGCCTCGCCAGATTCTGCCATTTGCAGCGGAGCCGCGATGATTGCTTCGTACGCGACGAACCACCATGAGCTCACGTCTTGGTCGCACTTCTCCTTCTCAATATCTAGAAGCTTAGCCCATGTTGACAGCTCGAGGCGCCGCCAGTTGATGATTGTACTTGTTAGTTCATCATAGAGCGAAGCGGCAGAATATTCTCGGCTGGCTACAAGCTGCCATTCATAAACAAGTCCGTGAAGCTTCTCGACCTTCGTGAGAAATTTGGCAACGGGCTCTGAGTGCTTGAATTGGAAAATATCCTTGCAGTACAGAATGACGTCCTGAATCACTGCATGATCAGGCCATGCTGTTTGAAGCTGGATGAAGCGCGACTGCACGGAAACCGTCAAGGCAATGAGTTTGCGAGCCTCAGTGAGGTTCGAATCCGTGTAGAAGTTATACTTCGGTGCCTCTCCGCTAATCATATCGTCAAGCAGTAGCAGCACA